ATCCAAAGTGAAAAGTGGCACTACATAACGATAACTAAGTCCTAATATATAACAAATTTTATAACAAATCTAAAATAAACAAAAAGGCGCCAAAAGGGACAAGAGAGCTCTATAAGTCATGACAATATATTTAAGATCTACATCGTGTCAAAAACCCTAATAGACCTGCAAAAGAAAAGCTAATGGACAAATGTTTGCAGAATTGGGAGTGAGCAATAATTATTTTTTCAAAATAGATATTTTAATTTCTTTATAAAATATACTATTAATCCTATATTATAAAACATTTGAAAAAAACTCTTAAAAACTATTTTTTATGTATGATTATGCATGAAGTATTGTATATTGATGTATATTACTTAAAATTCAAGATTACAAATAAATTATATATAAAATACAACTTATTATAACTTCTGTAACTAACTGCAGATAAACATAATCAAATAGAGGATAAACATCTCATTTTAAAATATAAAAAATCTAAAATATAATTAGAATAATTATCGAGTTTTAACAAAATAATTAATTATTATTTTTATAAGAAAAATATATTATTAAACCAAATATAAATTATTTCGTTATTGTACCTAAATTAAATTATAATAAAAAATTGAATCAAAAAATTACACAAAAATGATGAATTTTAAATAGTTAATTTGATACTAATATCGATATAWTTTTGTCAAATTTTTATGATATCTTCAAATTTATATTTTATTTAAAAATAAAAACATTATCGTTTTTTCAAAATCACATAAGACCATATTATAACATCGACTGAGATAAAAAATAAAATAAAATATTAAAATCAAGATGTATTTCGGTGCATTGAACGAGTATCCTTCTAATATGAGATTCAGGTGTGGCTTGATTAATTAATCAATACTCCAAACCAAACAATATATTACAATATTCAAAAGGGAAAAGTCTAGAAAATTCAATGGATTTTAATGTTTGAAATGATTAGGTTCTTAGACAATTTTTTGAAACAAATAAGTCATTAGACATTCCAAAATATGTTAAATAACTCATTGAACTTTTTAAACCTGTTAAATGCATTCTTATGACCTATACAACTGGTTGATATGGTAAAATAATGAAAAAAATTGAGAAAAAACCAATGGACTTTCATATTTTAAACGTTTTAGTCAGTAAACATTTTTTAAACAAAAAAATTACCTACATCTGTAAAATGAAACAAATATACTAAATAAGTACTTATATTTACAAAAAAATACTTACATTTAAAAAAAATTATTGATAAAAATTATTTTAATTAGAAATAAATTATATTTTGTCGGTGATTTTTCAAATTAAAAAAAATTATAAAAAAAGATTTAAAAGGAACTACCGGTAAGTAAGGGCGACGACTCTTACCATGGTAATACGATATCGTTTGGTGAACTAAAATCTTACCCGGTAAGTAAATAATAGTGTTAAATTTTACAAATAAGTATTTACCAGGTAAATGTTTGATAAACGACCTTTTAATAATTAAATATTATATTTAATTATTAATTTAGACAACAATCGGAAAAAAAATGGTTGTTTTATATCAAAGAGTAGAATCGAAAAAATTGGTTCTTACTTGTTAGGAGGCATAATATATTATTTTCTTTATTTAAAATGGTAGATTGCAAAAACTTGGAAGAGATAGTGGCTTAATGAGGAAATGCAAATCCTAGACCAATATTTCATTAATAAGATTTTGCCTCGCTCGCTCTATCCCTTTTTAGGGCTTATATAATGAAATTGAATGAAATTGGAGTCCATCAAGAAATTTGACTTAGAAGAAATTAGAATGAAATTTAACCACATGTTTGATTAGTAAAATAGGCATGAAATCTCTCAAAATAATTTGAATCTCCATCTTTATTTGCGAGGAAGGTAGGGGTCGCAGTTGTGATGACAACATCAGTGGACAGTGGTATGGTGGTGCCCCCCACCCCAACAACCACTATGCCATTATTGTTGTCGTCATAGCTACCACATCGGCTTACCCCTGCTCACCTTGCCCCACTACCACCCACCACCCACCGCTAGGCCACTACTTTCGTCATCACAGTGGCTAGCCTTATACTCTCTTGTCCCATCTCACCGACCACCATGCCACTGTTGTCGTAATCAAAGCTACCACCACATCCAAACCCCTCGACACCCCACGTGTGTAGGTGGTGGCCGGTAGGCATGGGAATGAGACGGAGACCTCAATCCTCATCCCCGATTACTTATCTTTATCCCCGTATCCGTCCCCAACCCCACCGGAGAATATAATCACATCCCCATCTCCATCCCCGCCGGGGCATAACAATAAAAAACATCTTTAAAATTATAATATAAAAAATAATATATTTATTTATTATTATACTGTTTTATTAAAGTATAATAATTATAATATATAATTAAGTTTTATAAGCAATAAATAATTATTTATTGATTTAAACATAGTTTATTTAATGAAACATCATTAACATTAAAATGAGAATTTTTAGTTAATAAATATTACATTCCAAAGTAAATTAAACTACAATACTTCAATTCTAGAATATAACATGTATCCAAAAGCAAATAAAACTACATTAGTTTTCAAAGTTAAGATAATTGTCTCTTATCATTTTCTTTATGAATCTATGCTATTGTATCAGGTTTTTATTTTATTATGTTAGTATACAACTATAACTAATATTATGTTTTGTTTTTGTTTTTGTTAATGAAAATTCATTTTGTTAAATGTATTTTTTTATGTTTAAGTTTCGTTAAACAAAATCATAATAAAATAGTTCATATTCGTTTTCACTAAATTTCATTTAAAAAAAAGTAAATTATTTAAATATAATTTACAATTTAAAAACACAAAATAACTAAATTATAAACTAGATGCAAAATATTACTTAGTATATTAAACTAATTAATCAATATATACATCCGATTGTGAAAAGGGGGACAAAAGACAACGCAACATGTGTCTCTGGTGTCTACATTCAGTATGAATGACAAAAGGTGAATGTTAATGTACTATTCATGATGAGTGATATAATATTTACACCGAATACTGTATCATTTATCATGAATAGTTCATGAACGTTGACATTCGTTATTTATATTGAATGTGGACACCAGAGACACGTGTCACACTCTCCCTTGCCCCTGGTTCACAATAAAAAATTGGCTTGTAACCGAATCCACCCCTATATACACACACACACACACACACACAGAGAGAGAGAGAGAGAGAGAGAGAGAGAGAGAGA